AAAGAAATATTTATATTTTTGTTTATTAAAACTAATCTATACATTATTATATAAATATAAATATATATACATTATCATTAAAACTATGATAGTTATTACACTACCCTTAGAAAAGTATCTGGTCAGCCAAAATAAAAATAAAAAAAATTATTTATTTAAAATTTTAAGTGTAAATTTTTAAAATAATTGAAATCATCAATATTTAAGAGATATCTGATCCTTTTTTTTTATAATTTGCTTAAGTGTAAGATCATAATTTTTATTCATAGAATTTGTCATCCGGATTTTTTAGCATTTGATTCATTATTAAAATTAGTATACTACATAATTACATTTGTAATAGTGCTTTTTGGAAATTTTAAAATGCGTGTGATGGTTTTGTGAATCCTTTCCACTAACTTTAAACTGATAATTTATTCACATTCAAAGTCATTTAATTTGCAATTTTTTTACCATGTTGAATGGTGTAATTTTTAAAAAGTGAAATCAAAGTTGTTTTATGTTTTTATATATTAAACCTGATCTATGCATTATTACACAAATATAAACATATGCACATCATTGTTAAAACCAAGAGGTTATTTAAATAAAAAATTTTTATTTAATTGATATGTCTATTCTTAAGAAATTTAAAAAAAGCTTAACCAGATACTTTTTCGAAGGTAGTATATGTCTGATTTTGAATAATTTAGAAAAAGCTTAATCAGATACTTTTCTGAAGGTAGTGTATATTAATAAAATTATTTCAAGATATAAATTACAATCATACTTTGATATAATAAGTATCTAAACTATTTGCCTTCATTAAAATCAACAAAAACTATATAAATACTAACAATCAATACAATTAAACAACCAAATACAGCAAAAAACTAAAGAAATACAATAATATTACAATATCAAATACTTTCTTATGTCAAAAAAGTTAATACTAGATGATAAAACTTTAAGTTATTACTTTAAAGAAATAATTTAATAATACTAAAAAATTAATATATTATTAACTTTAATGAAAATTATCTAAAAATTGAATTTATTAGAAAATTAATACCAAAATTTTTAAAAATATATATTTTTTAATTTATTAACAGATTTTAAATTTCATGATATATGTAATTAATACTTTTAAAAGCACTCGAGTGTTAAATTACAATTTGAATAAAAAACTATATAAGATAATATATAAAATTAAATAAGAATATGTTGTGGTATAGCTTTCTAGATATTGATCGGAAACAAATTTCAAAAACCTTAAATTATAAGGATGGTTTTGAATGAATATGGATAATTATTCCATGTTCCCAAAAATTTTTGTAATTGACCGGAAACAAATTTCAAAACCTTAAATTACAAGGATGGTTTTGAATGAATATGGATTATATTCCATAATAAATTGCTATGCTATAAACCATCTAAATTTGTAAATAAAAATAATATATAATTGTAAGGAATAAAATATTTATAAAAACATGATAAGAAAATGTAAATATAATTGTTAAAAATATGTTGTAGTATAGCTTTCTAGCTATTGACCGGGAACAAATTTCAAAACCTTAAAGTACAAGGATGGTTTTGAAAGAATATGGATTATATTCCATAATAATTTATATTGCAACATTTTAAAAAAATATACCCTTTTTGACCATCTAACTCTTTTCATAGCAGATGTTTAAGTCATTTTCTGTAAGGGTATAATATTATCAAGGGCGTATGAGGGTAGTGAAGGGTAAGGTAGATGAGAAAATATAGCCCAAAGAAAATTTTGCTTACACAACCCCACACTTCTGCACCCAAATATAGCGACTTTAGTGAGAAGATGAACGCGTACTAAATAAAAAAATAAATGTCAAACATACAAGTTGACTGTGAGAAAAAAAGAAGTAATTGGCAATGAAGACGAAAAAAATAAGTTGACTGAATTTATTATGGCTTACCAGTAAATGAAACTCCGACTACGACTTGAGTATTATTTGTTTTGACTCCACGAAAAGTATTATTGACCAAACGTGTTTATTTCTTTCGTCAGAAGGTCGTTCCTCCAAATTACTCAAATCGAAGTTATTCTTCTTTAGATTTTATATTGCTAGGAATATTTTAAGTTGGCTTCCTTTGAAATTGAAAATATTTTTATTCCTTTCAATAAGGCAGAACTGCTTTCACGAACAAGAAAGATTAAAAATTCGTGCGACTTTATTTGATCTGAGAATCACGTGATATTATCATGAACAAAGAAAAATTTTTTTTCGAATTGATTTTTTTATTCAAGTACAACGATGTCTCGACCAGAACATAAAGCCCCACCGGAAATTGTAATTTTTTTTTAATTATTTTTTTACATAAAATTAAATTTATTAATTCGTTTTTAGTTTTATAATGATGATGAAGCGAGGAAATATACATCAAAGTGAGAAACTCAAAAAATAAAATCAAATTAGAAATTATTTCATTAATTCATACTGTTCAATTAATTAATTTGATCTTTAATTCTTTTTTATAAATTCATTAGTTCAAGAATACAAAGTGTTCAAGCAGAAATGGTAAATCAATTTATAACTCGATTCAATATCTTAGGTCTTTAATTTTAATTACTTACTTTTTTATTATCTAGTCATTACGAGCCCTTGAACTTTTGAATTTGCCAGAAAATGAAACGTGTTTCTTACTCGATATAGGTTGCGGATCAGGACTAAGCGGAGAAATCTTGGATGAAGAAGGTCATATATGGGTGGGATTGGATATCTCTCCATCTATGTTACGTTAAGTATTGTATCATATTCGCGATATTTTTTATATATGTCCTGATGTTAACGCGTGTTTTTTACTTAGAGGTCGCATTGGATCGAGAAGTTGAAGGCGATTTGTTTTTACAAGACGCTGGTCAAGGGATAGGTTTTCGACCGGGTACATTTGACGGCGCGATAAGGTAAATGAATACCATTATTATTAGTTCATTTTATTAATATTAACTTCTTTTTTTATTATTTTGTTTTGATAAAAAAAAAAAAGTATTTCTGCTTTACAATGGCTTTGTAACGCTGATCAGCAATCTCATAATCCAAAAGCTCGATTAAATCGGTTTTTCTCAACATTATATGCATCACTACGACGCGGAGCTCGTGCAGTATTTCAATTCTATCCTGAGAACGATGATCAATGTGAATTAATTATGAGTGTAGCAATGAGATGTGGGTTTGAAGGTGGTCTAGTAGTAGATTATCCTAATAGTAAAAAGGCTAAAAAATATTATCTGTGCTTATTTGCTGGGCAAATTCCTGGTAAACAAAAACAACAAATACCACAGGCTTTAGGTGAAGAAGAGAGTGAACCAACCGGTGTAGTTTATTCAAATCAAAGGTTTGTTACTATGTTTAAAATTGTTTAAAATAATTTTTTTTAAAAAATAAAAAAAAAACCAATATAATTTATTTACTTTTTTTTTTAGAATAAATGAACGACAAAAGGTAAAAGGAAAGCAACGTAAATCAGTTAAAGATAAGGATTGGGTATTGCGTAAAAAAGACGTTGCACGTATGCGTGGGAATAAAGAAGTGCCATTGGACTCTAAATACACAGGAAGGAAGAGAAAACCCAAGTTCTAGAATAGTTATTATTTCCTGGAAACTCCAGATATTATTAATATTTAAAAATTTGTGAGGTAGATGTGTATCGTTCACATAAATCTTTAGACCTATTCGCTTATTTAAATATTTATTCAATCATTACTCATTATTCCCTTCCGAATCTGAATTCGAGGATGCATTCTTTAATTCTGTACTTATGTCTTTATTAGTCCGGAGCGTAGCGAAGGACTATATAATTCTATGCTGTTTGATTCAAGATGTCCGCTTCCCCCCCCCCCCGCTCAATAATTGAGTCGATGCTGATATGCGTAAAGCAAATACCAGTGTGAAATTTTTTGGTTAAGATCGTTCCGGACTTAACAACCCTAGTCTAATTAGTCCGTATAAGGTCTATATTGTGTAACACAATGTCCCGATGTCAGCGCGCTCGAAATTTGAGTCGTTTCGTGATAGGTCCCTTAACAATGGTTTCCTAGCCGGACTTAACAAGTTATCAACCATACCAGAAAAATACTATAGTAATAAACTAGACTATCCGAATCTTTAAAGGTTTTTTTTTGATTACAAAAAAATTGCCAAATTTATAGTGCGGTTGAGGATTTTAGTTCCTCTTTTGAAAAGGATTTAGGTTGAAAGTAATGAGAAATGAGACGCAATTTTGATCGGCACATGAATTGATATTAACTTTCTGCATATTCTTTATTGGTATATTTAATTTTGATATAAAGACTATTTCTTTTATATTTATTATTCGTTATAGGACAAGCCTTATATTTATTCCATTAAATTATTGTGATTATTGTTTAGATTCCGAATTAAATAAAATCAAATTGTTTTTTTAATTTGAGAATTTGAAAATTTTTGATTGGTCACCATTAAGATTTAACAATTCAATTCAGTTAAAAACAAGTTTCAATATTATACTCCCATCAAAACTTACAAATAACTAACAATCTTTTTCCGTCTTGAATTATTGATCAAAAACATTTTCTAATCTTTCTCAACTAGGAGTTTCCACCACACATACCATAACATCATTGCCAATTTAGTTTTGTCGACCGATTCTCTACTATTTTCGTAACTAATGATAGGGTCTTAGTTTCATCACAACACAACTATTACCAAATAAGTATACTATTCGATAAATCGTTCCGGACTTGACAACGGTCCCCGTTTCCTAGTTATTATTATCATTGGTATCGGTTTGTTTGTCTTTATCCTCTTGTTTTGTCTTTGCCTTTTTAATATTTTGTTTTTTCATTTGTTTCTTCTTTTGTCGTTTTGCTCTCTTTTTTGCCGTTTTTTCTTCCTCGTGTGCTTTAACTACCTCCATCTTTGCTTCGAATTCACGTTTTTCTTCTTCCTAAAGATCAAAGATCTTTGGTTAAATCAAATCTAAATGAAATCGAAACGAGTTTGTCAGAGGATGCTAAGATATTGAACCTTTTTTGTTTCCTCCTCCATGATCTTCAATCTGGTATATTCTCTACGACGATGAGCTCTGTAAACGTGAAATTCCCCACTACCCGCACCGGCACTAGATCCTAATAAATTCAAATAAAATATAATTCAATAAAAAAAAAACAAAAAAAAAAATTTCACATTTAAAACATTCGCTCATACCTTGAACATTCCTTACGATATCCTTTGGAGGTTTTAATTTTGGTTTATCTACCATTTCAGGAATATTAACTGGCTTATCTGCTTTTCTTAATAATTTTTCTAATTGTAGGCGTTGAATTTCTACAGGAGTTAGATTATACCTGTGTGTCTTATTTTTTATCCCCTCTTCGCTTTCACTATCGCTAGAAGCATGATCGGTTTTCTGAACTGGTTCTTTGGTTGACATTTTTTGGTAAAATTCCAGATCTTCTTTTAGCAATAAAAGTTACGGGCGACAAGGAGTTCCTAAAGTTTGAATCACGAGATATGCGATAGCCATTTGTCACACAAAATTACAGTTATATATATATTCGGGAGAAATCCAACATGTTAATCTCATTTAAAAGATGAACTAACTGCATTTATTTAGCCTAATACGAAATTTAGTCAACGGAAATTAAAGAAATAAGGGATTCACTTCCGACACATTAGATAGAAAAACAAAATAATTTGACAATGCATATCAATAAAAAAAAATTTCACATGTTCTGCATATTTCAAGTAAAAGAAATGATTAATTCATTGTTCTTAAACATTATCAATATTAAATAGCCAAATAAGGAACAAATAATAATTAACAATAAAATTATTTTTCCAATGTAACCAGACAAAAAAAAAAAAAAAATAATTATTTTGTAATATCCTAATCTATTATTATAAATAATTAAATGTATGCTATATGTAAGAAAAGAAAGGAAAAAAAAAAATTGGAACAAATAATTTTGAAATGGATTACGCGATTGATCCTAACAACCCATAATTTTAGCTAATTCTTCTAAATCATTAATTATCAAATCAAATTCATGATTGGCTTGACCACCAAATCCATTAGTATATTCCAATTCAACTTGATCATTTATTTCACCATTTTCCGTCGTAACATCATCTTCGTATTCTTCACGTTGTACAAAAATGGTTTTCAAGCCTAATTTTCTGACTTTTTTTAGATCGTTTTTATTAGAAGAAACCACGGCGACTTGTTCAGGATCTAAATCTAACATCTGACAACTACCAAAATACAATTTAGGGTTAGGTATGTAACATCTCCAAGATTCCGCAGAAAACATATAATCGAAGGATAAATTTGCATTCCGTTTTAAATCGACTAATAATCTAACGTTGGCATTACTTAAGGCAGCATTAATATATCTTTTACCAAGTCTCGTTATACCGGGTATGGTATCGTTATAAGGATCTAATTTATGCCAAATATTAACTAAATTTTCTATTTCATCATCCGACCATAAATGAACTATATCAAATTCCGCAATTAATTGTTCTATAAGTTTTCGATTTAATGAATCAACCGACAAAAATGGTGTCTTTCCTGAATTCGTGGAATTAATGTACGCTTTATATCCATTTCTCCATTTTTGTGCGAATGAATGCCAATTTTTATTTAACAAAGTTTGAGTTGAACATCGAGTTGATGTCAAGGTTGCGAATGACGATAATTCTTGAGTTAATGTTGTTCTCCAACTTACTGTCGTTTCAAATATATCAAAAAGAAATGCTTTGACATTTATCATAGAATCTGGGATATCTTCTACCATCTTTGTAAAGATAAAAGTGTATATTTCTTTTTTATTTTGAGAGGAGTTTTGTTATGAGATTTTACAGTCGATATATTAGATATATTAGAAGTTTTCAAAAAAAAAAAAAAAAAAGGAAAAAGATTTTTTTTTTATTATAAAGAAAAAAAATAAATTAACACCTTATATATATATGTAATGAGTCCACGAGGAAAATGTGACTAATAAATTTCGATCAACTACATATTTAATCTTTTTTTGTGTGCAATAGAAAAAAGTTTTACTTTAATTTCATTACGTAAGGGAAGTTCCGTTAATGTTAATGTAAGGGCATCTAATGTTTAGACTATTGTATAATAGATGTAATCTCAACAAAAAAAAATAAAAATGGATAATAAAAGAATAAATAAAATTATTTTATTTATTTTTTTTTTTTAAAAAAAAAATTGATCATTACTAAATCAAACAATGCATATAAACTGATTGGTGAATTTTCAAAACACGGAGTTAAAGAACTGTTTATGTAAATGAAAATTTTTCACTTAATAAATTTCGTTTTATTGACATTTTGCATTCTAATATGGTTAGGTATGTTATGAAAATAAAGGATATCAAACGATCCTGCTTGCGTCAAGAATTTCCTATAATATAAACAAACAAAATTCCATTTCTTCCCGATACCAATCATTTTTCACCAAGTTTATTTTTCCCAATACCAAAGATTACTACTTTTTATTTCGGACGAAAAAAAATATTTTTTTTGGTTTTGTTTCTAAATTTAACCCCTGCACATGAAAATCCGTTTATAATAATAAAAATTTTTTTTTTTTTTTTGTAATTAAATGCGTCTTGGTATTTTTTTTTTTTTTTTTTTTTTTTTTAGGAAACTTTCTTCCTTTTTCTTTTCTTTTTTTTTTTTTTTAAAAAAAAAAGATTCAGATCTCAACCGCTAAATGCCGTTTTTTCTTTAGAAAACACAGTTTGTCAATATTATTGTCATATGTGATACAACATTACAAACTCAAATTTTTCAATGGTAATTTTACCATGAAATTTTTTAACTTTTTATCCCATTGTATGATATTTGATCAGATGGGATCAGATAAATGTTGTTGAATATAAAATTGCCAAGAAATAAATTATAATTCGATGTTTCCAATATTCGCTTTACTGATTATATCGAATTGTTTTAAAGTTTATTCCGGACTCTACCTCCCGACTCTAAAAGAAGGCTGGTTTTGATTACGATATACATCATTGAAATACTAAATAAAGAACTAGTATGATATACGAACCTCCTAAGATTCGGGATGCCAAATTTAATTCTCATATTACTTTTTGTTAGTAAAAAAAAATTTCACTTTAAAAATTATGCAGCCTTTTGATAATATTGAAATCACCTTATTATTATATTATCGTTTCACCAATCAAAATTTTTTTTTGAATTTTCAAAAAAAAAAAAAAGGAATTAACTTCCGTAGGATTGTATTACAGAAGCTTCTTTAAAGAATAAATCTGTTCAGAAATAGATCATCAAATAAATTACATCAAAGCATGTGAAAATTGCATCCAACAAGATTTTGTAAATTAAAAAAAAAAATATCTTAAAAGAATTATTTAAGAAAAACTCTTTCATTAGAAAGTTCTTCAAAAGTGAACAAAATTTTTCAGTTATTTTAGTTAGATTTGCTTGCAATTATCATTAAGAATCTCAGTTATCTGTAATGTATCTTAAATATTTAGTAACTTCTTATCTCAACTATTTTGATTGATTAATATATTATTAATTTAAATGTAATTATCCTTAAATACTAATAAAGTATTTAGTACTATCTCCATATATGCTAAATCTACATAATTGATTTAGTTAACTATATAATAAATAATTCAATTATTGATTCTTCTTTCTTATTTAGTAGATATAATTCTATATTAATATAGATAATGATAATAATAATGATAATGAAACTCTTAATAATAATATATTATATCTTGAAGATATTATTTAATGATGTTATAATAAATTTTCTGATTCTATCTTTTAGTTGATATATCTTTTTATGAAACTTAAATAATTCTTCTGTAATATTCTTTAAGATCTTATTTTTTTCTAAAATGGTTATCTAAAAATTAAAAATCTGAATTTCTTACTTTAAAATCTCTCACTTCTTATATAAATAATCTATTTTTAGATTATTATAATATATATAAATTTACTCTTTAGTCATTTTATCTAATTTTTATAAACTTATATATTCATAACAAGTATTCTTACCCTATAAAAAATTTGCATACATTTTTTCATTATTATAAATAAGTTTTGTATACATTTTTTGAAATTCTGTAACACATTTCCTTATAT